TTTTAATTACCCATTGGACATCTGTAGGCTCAAGTGAAGAGTCAGTGCTTTCAACAAAAGTGGCCAAGTCCTTGAAAAGTAATGTAGGCAATCTTTACTCATTGTAACTCACACAGCAGAGGTGTTAACCACAGCAAAGTTAGTGGGAGACAAATTGCTCAGCTTTGTGACCTCCAAAATCAGTGATTTGGCTTTTTTAAAGTCAAAATAAAGCTAGAGGGTTTATTTTAGTTTCTGTCTATTACAATACCTGTTTGCAATCATTTCCTACTTGTTTCTGGCAAACCAGGCAACTATGAATCTGCTCTTTCTACTGATGTGTCTTTTCTGAAAATTTCACAGAATGGAATCATAGAGCTGGGTGTGGTGGCCCACACCTATAATCCCAGTAATTTGGGAGGCTTGATACAGGAGGATCCCAACTTCAAAGCCAGCATTAAATAAAACTTCTTGAGGCCCTAAGTAAGCAACTTTAGCAAGACTCTGTGTCACAATAAAAAAAAATTTAAAAAAGGGTTCACTCATCATGATTTAAAAAAAACTTTATTATAGTGTATCATGTATCAGTACTTTTAAAAAATGATATAGTTATACCATAGTTTCTTTACCCATTCACAAATTGATTGACATTGAAGTTTATTGCAGTTTCTTGCTATTATGAATAATGCTCTTTAGAATATTAGTATGAGTTTATGTAGTTTCCTGGAAGTAGAATGGCTGGTTACAATAGTGTATAAATATATATGCCCAGCATGGTAGTCCACTCCTGTAATCCCGGCTACCCAGAGACAGTAGGATTACAAATTCATAGCCAGCCTGGGTTATTTAGCCCCCATTCTCTGTAAAAGGGCTGGGAAGGTAGCTCATTTGGTGGAGTGTTTGTGTAGCATTTCTACTGATTTGTCCTGAGTTCAATCCCTAGCCCCATTAAACAAACAAACAAAAAACAGTGACTTTATGTTTAATGGTTTAAGTGTTTTAAAAGTTACCAAACTGATATGTAAAGTAGCTGTACCATTTTCCAGAGAGAGAAAGATGGGGGGGGGGCAGAGAGGGAGGGAGGGAGGGAGGCGAGGAATGAGAATGTGAGATTACACATACAGGGTCTTACTCCCATAACACTTTTACTGTTATACTTATTCCTTACTTTGTATTTGAATTTTATTTTGATTTCATTTTCTTGTAGCCCAAAAGGTAGGTCGGCTAGTTACTGATTATCTTGGGTTTTGTTCATCTGTAAATGTTTTGCCTGTATGACTGATAAAATTGTTTTTCCCCCCGTATAGGCTTAGGTGACTCAGATGATGGTAATATTTACTAAGACATAGAAACATATGAAATTGATGCAGAAGTTTTGAATATGCTTAAATTTGAGATGTTCAGGAGACATCAATCTGAAATCAACAGAGTTCAGGAGAAAGATCTGGACTAGAGAGAGGATTTGGATTATTCAGGATGTACTTCAACGTTGGAAGTAGACAAATGCATCCGAGAAGATTATACAATGAAAGACCCGGGGCTGGGGCTGTAGCTCAGTGGCAGAGTGCTTGCCTAGCATGTGTGAGGCACTGGTTTGATCCTCAGCAACACATAAAAAATAAATTGATAAACAAAGATATTTTGTGTCCCTCTACAACTAAAACACTATTTAAAAAAAAAAAAAAGGAAAAAAGGAAAGATCCTTGGTCAACATTTAACATCACAGAAAGGACAGATTGGTTAAACATTAAAAGAGGAACACATGGTGGCACATACCTATAATGCCAGCCACCAGGGAGGTTGAGGCCATGGGAGGATTGCATATTGAAGGACAGGCTCAGCAGTTTAGCAAGGTCCTAAAGCAATTTGGCAACCCCGTCTCAAAAACGGTCTGTGGATGTAACTCAGTGGTAAAGTGTTTGCCTTGAATGTGTGAGGATATGGGTTCAATCCCTGGTACTAAATAAATAAATAAATAAGAGTTCACAATTTAGCATAAAAGACAAGAAAGGCTGCATAAATGAATTGGATTGGTTAGGGACTCATGCATTTTTCAAATTGCAGTTGTGGCATATTTAGTGCAAATGAGAGACTCCTGGAAATGTAATGGGAGAAATAAGGTGACAGCAGTGGAAGATGTGAAAATAGTAATGGCTTTTTACTGCTGTCCTCCCTAGAAAACAAGTAAGGTATACCTTTGCTTCTTCCTGTTGACAGTATTGTTGGGATAAAATAACTGCTAAAGCCATTATTTGGAGAGTAACAATTTGTTTTAAAATATTTGATGTAACCAATGAAACTTCCTCTCAGTGCAGACAACCCACCTTAAACAATGGTTGTCTTTACTGTGTAATTTTAAATTTATGTCAGCTTTCAGTAGTTAAGTCCCATTAAGCTTAATACAAATAAACAGTAGCAAAGTGGAATTATCGGATCATTTTTCTGGTGGATTGAGTGCAGTCCTAGTAGGAAATTAATAAAACTATTTCATCTTCAGCATCATTTAAAATTTTGTTATTGGTGGACAGAATAAGTCAGTCTCCCTCCCTGTTTTTTCTCTCATTTAATGGTCAGAGTATGTTTTCTATGGATGGAGGGATCTGTCTCATTTGGTAATGCAAAATAGCTTACTGTATTCAGAGATCATGATTTGGCATGGGGAGAGAGTACAAGAGTACCCAATCCTTTCAGAGTTTTCAACCTGAGCAGAAGGAGCTGATGGGAAGTTGAAATTTTGTACTTGAGAGCAGATTTCAGTGATGGATATCAAAGTATGTGAAACTGAATTGGGAGAATGTGTAAAGTAATAAGCTGTTGAGAGGTACTATTAGGACTTCTTTTATTTAATCTAGTTTGTGGTGAAAGGGTTAAAAAGAGTAACATTTGGCCACAGCTTTAAGAGATGTAACTACTATGCTAGATGATTTAACAAAAATAAAAGAATTTATGCCATTCCAGCTGGTCAGTAAATGAGAAAACAGAATAAAGAAAATAAGTTATATGGTTGATCCTGGGTTAGAGCTTGATAAGAGGATGATGAAGATAATCTTGATTATGGAAATATAGGCGAAAGTTTGAGTATACTACTCATGTTGGGCCTGAAAGATTTCTAGCATTTGGAGGTCTCTTTTGATGATTATTATTCTTCCTCACAAAAACAGATACTATTATTTACATCACCTTAGCTTTTACAATAGCTGAAATTCACTGGTTGTTTACTAGTGTATCTAAGGCTGAGAAACAGCAAGGTTGAATTATGTGGAGTAATGTCTAGGACCTGGAATTTTACTGTTAACTTTTTAGCTTTGTAATATTTCCACATAAATATGTGTATTCTTCCATATTGGTGACCTACTAAGTTTAAATTAGATGATGATGGTATTGGAAGACTGTACATTTGGTAGAATTGTGACCATGTAGATTTTCCACTCTAATTTGCTGAAGACTTAAAGCGTTGTTAGTTCGAGGCTAGCCTGGGCAATTTCATGAGAACCTCTCAGAAAGAAAGAAAAAAGAAGTAGTACATTTATAATTCAGTAAATATTTCTAAATTAGGATTTTCCAGTTTAGAGTAGGACATGGTTTTCAAGCATTGTCTGTAAATAAGATACTAACAGAGAAGTCTTTTGTAATTCAAAACTTCAGGTACTCAATCCAGATTTTTTTATGGAGTTAATTCAGAAGTAGGTATAGGAAAAGAAAAGAATGGAGAAGAAAGAGAAGGGCAACTTGAAAGCTCTTTTTATTTTTCATCAACATCCTTGCCATTACCTGATTGACATTCAAGTAAATTTAATTGGCCAATCAGTTACTTCCTAACTTTATGAAAATTTCAAAAGATACTGGTTTGACTACTTCACTTAAGGTGTTTGGGCAGCTGGGTAATTCCTCCCGGTTTCGTTAGACAAACCTTACCTCTTTATACTTACACCAGCAGCAGATTATATCATTAGATTTTGTCTTTTTCATTTAAGCCTGTTTGATGGACAGGAAAATACTACCTTGTTCCAATTTCATTTTCTTTTTTCACTTTGTTTCCAATCTGTGTTTTCTTTATTGCTAAAGAAACTAGGGTTTTCATTTGATTTTACCTCCCTTCATTTCTTTGAGAATTGCTTTTTGTATTCATTTTTTTTTCTTTTTGGTTATCCTTATTTGTTTGACTTATACAGGTCATGTATATTTTGTTTAAAATTTTGTGTTGAGAAAATTTTTTTTCTCAATATGTACATAAGCTTTATTTGTTGTATACTGTATCAGGTTTTTCGAGTCATGTTTATTATAGTTTCTGCATTTTAGATCTCGCCTAAGAAGACCTTCCCCAGGAATATGAAAGTATTCTTTATGTTCTTTGCTAAACAGTGCTGTTTCAGACTTTTTTAGAAAAAGTTGTTTTGGGGAATTCTTTTTTTTTCACCCTTACCTGTACCAAGGATTGAATCCAGGGGCATTTAACTGCTCAGCCAGATCCCCAGCCCTTTTTATTTTGTTTTATTTTTTAATTTTGAAACAGGGTCTTCCTAAGTTGCTTAGGGCTCACTAAGTTGCTGAGGTTGGTTTTGAACCTGTGATCCTCCTGCTTTAATCTTGAGAGCTGCTGGGATTACAGGTTCATTTGTGAAGGTCAAACTTTAATAAATTATTGGGAATTGTAATTGTGATTTTATCTGATTTGTAGATAATTGGGATAATATTGGTACTAAATAACAACCATTATAATTAATGGAGTTATCTGTGTTGCTAATTTTTTGGACTAGTTATTGGACATTTTATCCTTTTCATATTTTGTTTCAAAATTTCAAAATTCTTTTCTTTTTACATTTTTATTTTGTATAAAGAGCCTACAAATAAATCTCGGGAACTTAAAATTAAAATTTCAGCTGACAGTTCTTCTCTGTTATAGTAGGAAACTTTGAGTTAAACATTTGAAGTTCTTGGAAATAAGTTGGAGCGTTACTAATTTCTAAAATTATATTTAGGCCTTATAAGCATATTTATCTACGTATTTATAATTTTTTTAGTCATCATTGAATTTTGAGAAGCATTCTGAAAATTTTTCATGGACGGAAAATCGTTATGATGTGAATCGTCGAAGACACAATTCTTCAGATGGCTTTGATTCTGGTATTGGACGTTCTAATGGAGGTAAAATTTGCTGAGAAAAGATTTATGGATAATTTCCATAGTTTTTAAAGGATGCTTTGATTGCTATCAATCTTTATGCATAACTATCTTTGAATTTATATTAATTTACTGTTATCAAATGAAGGTAATTTTGGAAGGAAAGAAAAAAATGGATGGCGTACGCATGGCAGAAATGGTACTGAAAACATAAATCATCGAGGAGGATACCATGGTGGAAATTCCCGTTCTCGTAGCAGTATTTTCCATTCTGGAAAAAGCCAAGGTCTACATGAAAACAACATACCTGACAATGAAACCGGAAGGAAAGAAGATAAAAGAGAACGCAAACAGTTTGAGGCTGAGGATTTTGTAAGTTTCTTGTTATTTTAATACAAAGGATGTTTCTGCAAGTGTCTTTGTAGCACCAAGACATGCTTAGGTTTTATTAGTACAAGTCATTTTCTGTAAGGATCACACTTGATAAGCATTTGTCCAGTTATTTTGTAAGCCATACATTTTGCAAATATTTTTTTTGCTCACTATATTCCCCTCTGTTCCCAACCAATTCTTGCCCTCTCCTTCAGTGTGGTTTTGAAAACATTTAGTATATTCATGTCAACTTTTATTACTTATAGAAAGTTGAACAGTTTCCCTTAGAATAGTAGCTGGCTTCTTTGCTAGTATAATGTAAAATTATGTTTAATTTTAATAACCATAATGTAAAATTATGTTTAAGAAGCTATCAACCTTTTGGAAACAGAATGTGATCAGTACTTTTTATTGATCGAGAACTAGTTCTGCTTGTCTCCAACAAGTGGGCTCAAGTGATCCTTCTGCTTCAGCCTCTTCGGTCGCTGGGGCTACCAAGAGCTACCAAAAGCCAGGTGCGGTGGCACACTCCTGTAATCTGAGCAGCTGAAATGGCCAAGGCAGGATCGCAAGTTCAAAGCCAGCCTCAACCAAAAAGTGGGGTGTTAAGCTACTCAGTGAGACCCTGTCTCTAAATAAAATAGGGCTGGAGATGTGTATCAGTGGTTGAGTGCCCCTGAGTTCAATTCCCAGCCCCCCCCCCCCCCAAAAAAAAAATGGAACTACCATGACTGGCTCTGCAATACATTTATTTAGATTGTTGTCTTTATTTATTTTTTTATTTTTATCTTTATTGTTTTTGGTATTGAGCATTGAACCCAGGGCCGCTTGCTTAACCACTGAGCCACACCCCGAGCTCTTTTTATTTTTTGAGACAGGGTCTCACAAAGTTGTTCAGGGCCTCCCCAAATTGCTGAGGCTAGTTTCAAATTTGCAATGCTCTTTCCTGATCCTCCTGAATCATTGGATTACAGGCAAGAGCCATCACACCCGGTTTATCTGTTTATTTTTAACAGTATCTAAAAAAATTTTTTGCAGTGCTGGAGATCAGACTTAGGACCTTGCCGTTACTAGGCAAGCAATCTACCATTGAGCTACATCTCCAGGCCTAGAATTTGCCTTTTAAATAAAACTTGATTATTTAAATACGACTCTTAAACTAATTCAAGGATAGTGCTTTCATGTTTTGCACCTATTTCCTTCCCAATTCAAAGTTAGTTGGTTTTTTTTTTTTTTTAATACATTGTTCAGTTGTAGATGGACAAAATACCTTTATTTTATTTATTTATGTGGTGCTGAGGTTTGAACCCAGTGCCTCACACATGCTGGGCAAGTGCTCTACCACTGAGCCACATCCCCAACCCCCCCACCCCCCTCCCTTTTTTTTTAAGAAGGGATGGAAGACAGATTGTTTTTCTAGGCCAGGTGCAGTTAAGAATGTTGACTCTACTAATAATAAGTAAGTTAACAAAAAGCTGGGTTTTCATATTTTTTTCCTATTCTTAAAATCTAACAGTGTGGCTCATCTAAACGGTGTGCTGCTCAAGTCACAGTAAAAATGATGTAGTGAGCACTTCTGCTTGTTATTCTTATGATTCATTCCTGATAACTTAAATCTTATCCACTGTAGGTAGAGACATTTTGCACTTTTACCTTTTTTATATATTTGCTGTTAATTCTTATTCATTATATATTTTGAGTGACTGTGTGAGACAGTTGCTGTTCTTGGTACATAGAATATATATGTGAATAAGACAAGCAGTTCCTGCTCTGAGTTTCTATTCTAGTGGTAGCATTTAGAACATAAAAAGAAAAAGTAATTTATATTTTGGAGAGAATTTTGACAGGAAATAAGTAGGTGGGCTCTTTGGGAATTTGAGAGAGTCTTTTCCAGGAAATTGGCATTTAATCTGGAACTTGATAGGGAAAAGAATAAGCTTTGTTAAGTGGGAGAAGGTTGAGGGTGGTAGCTCATTGATAGAAGTGTGCTTAGCTCTGGGTTTAAATTCCAGCATCACCCCTCCTCCCCATGATTAATAAATAAAGACTGGAAGGAATAAAGAAATAAGGTAGTGCAAAGGATTTTAGGTTTGTACAAAAACTATTCCAGTTGTTAGATCTTGAGTGTATTTTAGTGGTAGAAGGAAGATTTGTTAAAAAAAAGTGTTTAAAAAATGGGGCTGTCCTGGGCTGGGGTTGTGCCTCAGTGGTAGGGCGCTTGCTTAGCATGTGTGAGGCTCTGGGTTTGATTCTCAGCACTGCGTATAAATAAATAAATAAATAAATAAATAAATAAATAAATAAATAAAGTCCATCAACAACTAAAAAATGGGAAGTAGTTTAGACTTTAAGCAAGGAAAGATCCAAGGTAGGTTGGATCTAGGGCAGAGGAGTGATAAGAGAAAAGAAGAATAAAAGATTACTTTTAATATAGAATCTATTTGCCTTTCCATTTGAGTATATTTTTTCCACTTGATAATCACCATAAAGTTGAATTTTTATAGCCAAACTGAGAAGTAATGCTTTCTGTTAGTGTTGTGAGGGTTAAATGAATGGTCAGATGAATCAAAAATAGTGAACAGCATATAACAAACATTTAATAGAATAGTTGTTGTTATTATCCCCCACCTCCTCTCCCAAGGTGGTGGTTATCAGTTATTATAATCCTAGACTTGTAATGTAGGCAGTCTAATTTCTAATTATATATTTAATAGTATAATTAAGACATACACACATCCATCCACCAATAAAGTATTAACTGTATTTAGTTTATATCTATGAAGGAATGAATCATACTGATATGCACATATACTATTGAGGCTTTACAGTAATGTCAGTTCAGTGCTAATAATTGTTTTACTTTGGGTGATTAAAATGTTTATATTTAGGTTAATTTTATTTGATATGTATTGAGTGTTTTCTTTTATCGAGAGAGGCTGTGTTGCTAGGTAATATGAAGAATACAATACTGGAAGTTTTAAGATTATAGTTATCTAACCAGATGAGCATCAGAGCTGGACATAGTTCTGCACACCTATAATTCTAGTGGCTCCGAAATCTGAGGCAAGAGATTTGCAAGTTCAAGGCCTAGCCTCAGCAATGTAACGAGGCTCTAAGCAATTTAGGGAAATCCTGCCTCACAATAGAAAAAGAGCTGGGATGGAACTCAGAGTAAAGTGCCCATGGGTTCAGTCTAACTGTATGAAATGAATAAACAAATAGATTAGCTTTGGAGTGCCCATACAGTGCTCATCTCTTTTCTTGTTAATGATCTAGAGCACCACTTGTTGAAATAAAAATCTGCACCTTTTGAGAATGACTGTATTCACTAAAGCAATCCAGTGATAAAATGCCAGTAGAATTGGGAAGTAGTCTAATTTTTCTCTTATGTGACCTCAGTTTTATGCTGAGTAGTGATTAAATCTGAGATTGCAATGACTACTTGTATTGTTTGCTGCTGTGTTGAATTCCTGGACTACAGGCGGTGGTGGTATGTGAGTGATTTAGTGGTGTTTGGGCTTCAAAGTTGGGGCCTTCATCCATGCTAGGCAAACACTCCGCTACCACCAAGCCACACTCCCAACATCTTCTCTCTCCCCAGTTTTCTTCCTCTCATAGCCATGGATAAGGATAATGCTTATAGTATAATTAAGACTATAAGAGTCTAGTTCCATAGACACTGTTACTTTTCCCCTTTAAGTAACAGTGAATATAGACAAGGATTTTAATTGTTAACATCAGTTGCAAAGTAGGGTTTACCAGTAATTGGTCATTATTAATAGTAAAAGAGTTAATATAAAATTGTTTTTTATGAGGAAATCTGTTTATAAATGGGAAATGTTTGATTACTTTAAAAGATTTTTTTTTTTTAATTTCAATTTTCTTCCAGCCATCTTTAAATCCTGAATATGAGAGAGAACCAAATCAGAATAAATCATTAGCTGCAGGTGTATGGGGTAAGTGCCTTTTGATCTATCTTTGAGGGGTACAAAATGTTGATACTTTTAGGTTTCCCTTTCTTTTCTTTCTTTTTTTTAAGTAAAAAAGTTAGAATAATACTTTCTTTTAAATACCTGTTTTTGATATGCTAAGCTACAAAAAGGTAACACTTTTAAAGAGGAAATTTGAGGTAGAAGGAAAGTTTGATTTGAAATAGTTGATTTGCACATTAGCACCAGTAAGTATACTCAGTTTGATTTGGGTTTTGGAAATAATTGTTGAATTGATGTAACTTTGAGCACAGTGTAATAATTATAAACAACAACAACAAAAAAGTTTAAATTTTTAGTTTATCATAGTTGAAAACCTAGTTAACTGGAAAGATAAGTACTTGTGATTGATTATAGTTTGTCATGAAATTAATCTTTACCTATGAAAATGGATTAGACGTAGTGTTAAAAATAATTCTATAAATTTGTCTATGGAAATAGACTCTTTGAAATTATTTGCCTTTTTGAATTTTCAAAGATTAATGAGAGTTTCTGGTAATATTTCCCCTTTCTTTAAAACTGCTGAGTTTTTAATTTGATAGCATCTTACAGAAGAGTATATTGCACTCATAGTACAAATTAGACAGCTTTTAAAAAATTCAAGTGAAGTTTAAAATAATGGAATATTTTATAATAAATTTTTTTAAAAATCAGATTTGACATCTGAAAAATAAATTTAGTCATTTGAAACAAATCCAAAGTGGTGTATCCACTTTGAAACTTGTGCACATGTTCTTTGTATTTTTTCCATTGAATATTAATAACTTAATAAAACAAAAGGATTGTGGCTTATGATAGCATACTCCTCCTAATAATAAAGGCATTATTTTAAACTTTGCCACTTCCTGTGCTGTTCTTAATTGTATTTATGGGGTGAAACTCTTGGGAATTATTTTGTTTTCTTTTATCTCCCTCTTTACTTATGGGCTTTTTGAGGGTGAGGGGTGGGGGTGGTCAGACACTTTTGTTAGAACCATGTGAATGGCATTGTTTTTTCTGTATTGCAAATTAGTATTTCTACCACTCTCCCCAGGCCTACACGCCCAGACACACACATACCCAACCAAAAAAATCTCCCAAGCTCCTCTCTTAGGTATGTTTCCTTATTATTCAGTTTTTCTGGGAACAGATGATTGCATAAGAATATAGAACCACCTGGAAGGTGTTAAATAGAATTTCTAAGAAATTAGGAATAATTTGGATTTTATTAGACTGAAAGTAAATTTAAAAAGTCAAGAATTTCAGTGAACATTTGTCATATAAAACTACCTGTCGATACTATTGGTACTGATCCTTGGTTGATTTAATTTTAGAAATGATTTAAAGGCAAAGACATCTTTTGAAAATAATGAGACTAAAATGTATTAATATAAAGATTTTTTGGTTCTACTGTTTCAGTGTTGATCTAAGAATTTTTGAGTGTTAGTTGAAGAGATGTTTAAATGGAAGGTGTACTCTGTGTTTAGGTAAACTAAGAAATGTGTCTGCATTTATAAAAAGAAAAAAAGAAAACTGGTTAATTATGGCATGGTTAATTGTTAAATTCCCAGTACTTCCCATAAGAATACAATGAAACTTTCATTGTATGGCACTTCACTATTCCTCTCTCACTTTCCCCCTGGGTTCCCAAGTATTGTTTTCCTCATTGCAACATTTAGAATAGCTATGTTCCTGAGGAAGACGAGAGAATTTTAGGAAAGACTTCAATAGAACTTTTCTAGTGCTACCTCCTTCCAGGTAAGTAAAAATTTACTAATGAAAATGTAATCTGTATAAAAAGAAAAAATGATTTATTCTTGAAACTGTGACTTTATATAGCAAAAATTGGTAGATCCTGAACATAGTGTCACAATTTAAAATAAAACACCTTGAGGGAAAGTAAGTCATTAAAATAAAGTTCACATTAATTTTAGTTGTATTTAGAACTCAGTTGATTATTGGAAATGCCTTCATGCAGCTTATACTTGTGACTTCCATAGTGTTTTGTCTTAACCAGGACCACAGCTGTTTGGTACATAAGAATAATGATTATTAATAATCTATCTCCATGTTTTTAATAATTTAAGATTAAAACAACCTGCTTGAGGGCTGTATTTTGAGGATGTCATGATACAGACTATGATTGTGTGTATATCTAGACCAAAATATTCACATAGCCTTATGATTATGCCTTTAAATAGTTTTGAAATACTAAGCTATTAAAAAAAAAGTTTAAAACAGGAACTCAACATTCTTTAGTGTATTCCTGAGAATTTAAAAATAATTGTGTTAAATTATTTGGGGAGTGAGAAAGAGAAAGAGTGATGAGTGTTTAGTTATATGTATGCAATTTGAGATTCAATTAGTAGCTCTTGACTTGTAAATTTTCATAAGCCCTATTCCCTATTTTTATGTCAGAGTGACCCAGTATTCAGCAACATATCTTTGGCAGAGCTTTCTTAATATTTATTGCTTAAGATAATAATGAAAAATTTCAGTCACTAGTAATTATCTTAGTAATAAAAATAGTTGGCGTCTGTTCATATGTGTGTTCCTTGATAATTTGATGAATTTTCCTGAATGTTGCTTTTATTTGATATACTACTTACAAGTATAAAGGTTCCTTGTTATTATTTATTTTTGCTTAGCTTTCAAAATCAAAACATTATCTGGATCGGTTATTTTAAATCTAAATTCCAATAATAACTAGCCAGAATCATTCATGTAGAGTGAGGTAGTTGTATTAAAAAAGGTGGATAGTGATGAAAAACAGTGAGATTGTTTTTAGGAAGTATGATAAATAGAGCTAAAGAAAGGTAATAATTTTTGGTATTGTGCTGATGGGTCATTTTGTTTATATATTGAAATTATCCCATTTTCCTTAATGTCTTTCTCATATGAAAACAGTTAAAATTATAACATTGGAAGAAGAAAAAGGGTAATATAACACATGTTCAAAGGTTGAGAAGGGAAAAAAAGGTGCAAGTAGACAACTTAATTCACATACATTTCATTTGATCAGAGTTATAAATGTCATTTGTTTATCATGTTTACATTTTCATGGTATATTTCTTTAAAGCTGTTATTTATGAATACTGTTGAATCTCATTTAAAGAAAAAATTACTGTATTGGTTGCTATTGACAACAATTAGTGAAATTCCTTTGATTAAAACTTTCATAATACTATGAACCAAAACAGATTCATTAATTTAAAAAAAAATCCTAGCAAAATTGACAAAGCATCAAGATTTTAAGATACCTTTTAAAATAATCTTATGACCAGCTATTATAGCATGTGCTTATAGTCCCAGCTACTTTGGATGCTGTAGTAGGCAGATTGCAAGTTTGAGGCCAGAGTGAAAACCTTTCTCAAAATAAAACAAAATGAAAATGACTGGGAATGCAGCTCTGTGATATAGTGCCTGTGGGTTCAAGCCCCAGTACTGCCCCCCCTCCATCTGCTAATAAAAATTGTTAAGGAGATAATTTTTCTATACTAAAATTTTTATTCACATTAGGAGTTCAATTGCTTGGTATAGATCCCCTGAATCTGATAGGTGGAGATTGTATTATGACCAAGTTTTCTTCAAATTGGTTTGAAAAATTAATCCAAATACAGATTAAAATTGCCTTTTGTGTTTAGAGAGTAACTGTCTTCAACGTGTAGTGACCCTGACTTCACTTGGTAGTGCACGCTTAGAAGCCTCTTATCCAGACCATTCAGTATAGTAATTTTGGTTGAGAATGGTAAACATTGTTAAATATCTGGCATGGTAATATCTTTTAGTTTGCATTTTCACCAGTAATGTAGTGGCTAAGGACAGGGGTTTGGAATCAGGTAGGGAAAGCCCTAACATTAGATCTTTTACTTATTGGTTATTTGGATTTGGACATATAATTTAATTTCTGTGAGATGAGGATGATTACAATAATGAGAAAAAGCAGTGTTAAATTGTCTACTTAAAAAACTTTTCAGGCCACAGGTGCTTAGTAAATGTCAGCTAATTATTTTGCTCAAGTCCAGCAATTGGAGGGAGAGTCTATTTGGGATTATTAAGAGGCAAAAATGAAATTTCCGGATTATTAGCCAAAGAAGGAAGTTCTTAATGTAGTGATTGAATCAGAAACTTAGTGTATATAGTAGGTAGCTGTGCAGATAGTATAAAGAAAGAAGTTTGAGAAGTCAGCTTTGAATTATCTGTGACCAGATAATAATATGTTTTATTATATGTAGCATTATTCTAATTTGTTTTCTCAATAATGTGATTGCTTTTCTTCTACTATTGATGTCCTATTTAAGGAATAAAACTAATGCTTCTATTCATAGGTGTGGGGAGAGCATGCAATACAAAATGGTACTTAAAAGTCATTTATTGTCAGAGTACAGTTATTTTTGAGGCTAGAGGAAAATGATTGAAAATCCAAGACACGTTTATTTTCAATTTTTTTTAACTTAAAAAATTATCTGAATATCTGCTTACAAGAGATTGAGATAATAAACATGCAGTTTATGGAAAGAAATCACTAAGGTCATTTATTTTCTAATTCTTTTATAGGTGTTAATATTTTTTCAGTAATAAAGGACTAAGCACTCTGAGTTCATTATGTTTGCCAATTGAGAAAACAGACATTGGATAATATTTGAATCTAAAAGCTTAAATCCTGCTGGGTTTGAATGGCACACATCTGTAATTTTTTAAACTGCTTGGGAGATGAGGCAGGAGAAACCAAGTTCAAGGCTGGCCTTGAGCACTTACTAGATCTCCTCTCAAAATAAAATTTAAACAAAGGGCTCGGTATGTAGCTCAGTGGTAGAGAGTCCTTAGGTTCAGTACCCAGTATTAATATAAATAAAAAAGCTTCAACACCTCAAAAGTTTGTTCGAAGGCAGTTTGTGGAGATAACCTGTGAATAGATAGAAAATAATAAAACATACAATAGATATAAGTGATGCAAATTGAAAATTTCTTTCATCCCTTTAGGCAGTTACTACCGTTAAGAATAATTTCTTCTTAGGGCTGGCTTTGTGGCTCAGCAGTACAGCGCTTGCCTAGCATGTGTGATAACCCTGGGTTTGATCCTCAGCACCACATAACAATAAATAAATAAAATAAAGGTATTGTGTTCAACTACAACTAAAAAAGAAAAATACATTAAAAGCAAAACACTTTCTTCATCTTAAATGAGGTGTTAGGTTATTCAGAATAATTAATTTACAACATGGATTGATTTTTATCAAGTCTCTCTTTTTCTCATTCTTCTTTACTCTCTAGTGTTAACCTAAAATTCGTGGGAAAAGACACTTTGAATTGTAACTATATTGAAGAAAGTATACGGCTTCTTTGTCATTATTTAAATGTTAAACATTTTGCATTAACTCTCTTGTAAAAAACTGTTCCGATTTATAGTTGAAAGATAAAGTAACATGCAAAGTTGTACATTTAGTAAGGTTGGAGCTAGTATTGAAATTTGGATAAATCATTTCCAAAAAGCATATTAACCTGAGCCATGATGTTTTTATATGAATGCTTAATAAGCCCAATAGTTTTGTCTCTGCTTCTCTTATCTCAATCACTGTCTTCCTTCAGGTACCTCTCTTCATCTCTTACTTTGCCACCTACTCTTCTGTGAGTAATTTCTTAGGCTTCACCTTTCTTCTTTATAGGGTATTCCATCATTCTTGCACTGAGGACCTCAATGAAGAAACAGTAAGAATATTTCTTGCTCCAAGGAATCCAATTTTAGGAAAGGTGAAATTGCTAGTCAGAAATGATTTGAGGCTTGAAGATTATATTTGCTTGCTTATTTACCTTCCATTTCTTTTGTCTCCCTGGTTTTAATCATTGATTGCATATATATGATATTTTTTGTTTCTTGTATCTTTAACCTTCCACATGGGATCCTTTTCTTTCTGTGTAAAACATATTCCTTGGAATAGGATCTTCTCTTGGTGCATTATTTGATTTTATTTATCTGGAAAGTTTCTTTTCTGCTCCCTATCATATTTGGCATGTCCAAATCTCAATCTTTTGAGATTCTGCAGGGGAGAATGGATTGCTTCTGATCTGTTAAATTTTTTGGTGCAGATTCTAAAGCTGAAGTTTTCCCTTTATATGTCCCTTTGGAAATGTGTGCTGAGATCATTCCCTTGATGATGATCCCAGTCCCATTTATACTGTTTTGACTTCCTTCCCCATTATAAGGGAAGAAAGATATATTTGTGTACTTTGCCACATTGAACTAGAAATCTTCATCAGTCATATTTAAACTTAGATAATTTTGGCATACAAAAAGAACAGCCCCGTGTTTCAACATCTGGATTCCTCTGAGATGAGGCCTTGCAAACATATTACTTTTTCTTGTTTTCTAAGCAATTATTCAGATTCTTGGGTTTTATCTAGATTTTAAGTTATAAGCTAAGTTTTTTTACATATTGTTAATTAAAAAGTTTCTTGAAATTAATTTGGTGGTATTTGGTGTACTTTGGCCTGAACCCAGGTTTGATTTACCACTGACCCCCCCCCCCCAAACACCCCTCCACTTCCTTTCATTTATTGTTTTAAATTTTGAGTCAGGGTCTTGCTAAGTTGTTCAGGTGGGCCTCAAACTTGTGATCCTCTTGCCTTGATTTTCCAAATAGTAGTTGTGTGCCACTGTGCCCAGCCAAGAACCTTTTAAAAATACTCTATTCATGCGGTCATCATCTATTTACTATAAGTGATCATTGGAAAATTTGTATTATTTAGTATGTTTTAGTGTTCATTGTTCTGTTATGATGCCTTTGTTATTTTTTCATTTACTTCATTGTATAATATCTTCAGAAAAGCTATGTACATTGATAGTAATACTTTTCTGAGTAATTGTGTGCTTGAACTTTTTTTTTTTTAAAGCTCTTTAATCGGGCATTTTTAGGTAGCCAAGAATTTGGACTGATTGCCCTAGCAGATCAGCAGGTGCTAATTTTTGGAAAAATGAATCTTTTCTCAGTTTGTTCTAAGCCTTTATTCTCTTCAGAATGGCAATAGGCAAAGTACCATACCAGCTTTATTTTTTAGAGAGCTTGAAACTTCACATGAACCTGAGATTTCCTCCAGGTGTTCTTATATAGTTACGGTGAGGTGATCCAGTAGGAAGTTTGGTGTAGTTTTAGGGCAGTGGAGTACCACAGAGGTCTACCTAGCTCACTGGTTCATAGGATATCTTTAGTATGTGGAGCTATTTTTTTAGATTTAGATTTTCTGAGATTTCTTAAGTTGATTCTTCTGAATTTTTCAAATATGAAACCGGTGCTTTCAGAATTTTTTGAGGAAAGAAAGACATACTTCACATACAATAAATGTGAACATGAGGATATGTAACACATGTTTGACTACACATACAAATTGATTGAACTCTAGGAATAGTGTTTCATACTTTTAAACAAGTGGAAGTCTTGAAAAGAGCCTCCAGTTAGCAGTTATTTCTTTTAGTATCTTCATTAAACAAAGTTGTTGGTTTCTCTTGAACTTATATGATATCTTGAATGTATTTGGATGGTTAGTAGTATTTGAATGTATTACTATTATGGAAAATAGGATTCTTTTTATTACTTATTTTAAATAATTTAATTCAGTATTTAGAAGGAGAGGGAGTGTTGGCTGGGGCGCAATGGCTTACGCCTGTAATCCCAGCGACTTGGGAGGCTGAGACAGGAGGATTGTGAGTTCAGAGTCAGCCTCAGCAAAAGCAAGATGCTAAGCAACTCAGTGAGACCCTGTCTCTAAATAAAATACAAAATATGACTGGGGGGCTGGGGATGTGGCTTAAGCGGTAGCGCGCTGGCCTGGCATGCGCGCGGCCCAGGTTCGATCCTCAGCACCATATACAAACAAAGATGTTGTGTCTGCCGAAAACTAAAAAATAAATATTAAAAAAACAAAAAACAAAATAGGACTGGGGATATGGCTCAGTGAGCAAGTTCTCATGAATTCAATCCCTGGTACCTAGGAAAGAAAAAAAAAAAAAGAACCCCCCCCCCAAAAAAAATAGAGGGAGTGTTGTTCCTTGCTTATTGATAATTTTATAAGTGAAATGAATGAAAAAGGAATTGAAAATTTCGTTCTTTTTAAAATGGATGAGGGGGCTGGGGATGTGGCTCAAGCAGTAGCGCCGCTCACTTGGCATGCGTGCGGCCCGGGTTCGATCCTCAGCACCACATACAAACAAAAATGTTGTGTCCGCCGAAAACTAAAAAATAAATATTAAAAAAAAAATAAAATGGATGAGGGGAAAATGCAAATGTATTTTATATTCTACATGTTAAGAGTCATTAGGATGAAATTTGCATTTTTAATAAGTTAATAAAATGTTAGAATTTCATCTTGGCTTTTCATTTATGTGTAACTAAATTCATCTGTATTGACATTGCTCAGTTCTTGCTATATTCTGTGAGATTATGTTCTAGTTTATTATGTTCTAACTGATATATAGTTGTACTTATTTAGCTTAATAACTTTTGCCCATGAAGCATCTGCTGTTAGTATTGTTTTTAAAATGTAATCAAGCTTTGAAATATAATATTCTTAGGTGGATTTATTTTAATCTAAAAGTTGAGACTGTGTGTAACTCTTATTTGTGCTTTATTTATACAGAATATCCTCCGAATCCTAAATCTAGAGCTCCAAGGATGCTGGTCATTAAGAAAGGTAATACAAAAGACTTACAGCTATCTGGATTCCCTGTAGTAGGAAATCTTCAGTCACAGCCAGTTAAGAATGGAACTGGTCCGAGTGTTTATAAAGGCTTAGTCCCTAAACCTGCTGCTCCACCTACAAAAGTAAGTTCTAAATTGCTATACATGCAAATTTTGAGTGTTTTTTTTTTTTTTTTTTGAGTTGTTTTAATTTTGGGGGGGGAATTTTAGAAGCATGATATTACGATGTGGGTTGTTCATGGGGTGCTAGCAGACTTCTAGGTGGAAAGAATTGGCCATTGCGTACTATAAATTTTAATTCTCTCTCTGTGTATTCCTATGTGTTTTTGTTGTTGTTTTTATAGTAGTAAAGGAAGTTTATATGAGTTTTGTTGTCCTTGTGGTACTTGTGATATATTTGCTTAAAATGTATATATTGTATATATGTAAGTTTATGTGTATATGTTTACTTGGTTTTTCAGTTTTACGTTTTTGAAATCGTCATGAGTTGAAAAATCCCCTGCCTTTGGATTTATAAAACTTTGAAAAAATAGTGAATTAATTAGATGTTTCTCTCTCTCTCTCTCTCTCTCTCTCTCTTTGATTTGATTTTTTTTTAAATACACAACAGCGGAATGCATTACAATACTTATTACACATATAGAACACAGTTTTTCATATCTTTGTATATAGAGCACGTTCATGCCAATTCAGGCTTTTATACATATACTTTGTTTTTTCTTTTGCATTACAATTCTTATTACACATATATACCACAATTTTTCATATCTCTATTTATATATAAATAAGTATCTTGACACCCAATTTGAGTCTTCATACATGTACTTTGGATAATAGATGTTTATATCTCAATATCAAATTTTGAATTTATTTATAGGAAAAGGAATAGAAAACCATGTAGGGATGATGGAGTAATATTAAAAAAAATTTTTTTTAAGCCAAATGTAGTTATCTTTATTGTGTTTATTTCCTCTATAGTCTGTTACCTGTGTTTTTTCTAACAATTTTTAAAATTGATTTTATTTTTTTAAATACACCACAGCGGAATACATTACAATTCTTTTTACACATATAGAGCACAATTTTTCATATTTTTGTATATAAAGTATGTTCACACCAATTCATGTCTTTATACATGTACTTTGGTTTTTTTTTTTTTTTTGCATTACAATTCTTATTACACATATATAGCACAATTTTTCATATCCAAGTAGGTTGACACCCAGTTCGTGTCTTCATACATTTACCTGTTTCCTGTTTTTGATAACCATTAATGTTTGTGTGTTTTTCTTTAGCCTACACAGTGGAAAAGCCAAACTAAAGAAAATAAGGTTGGGACTTCTTTCCCTCATGAATCTTCATATGGTGTTGGCAACTTTAATGCTTTTAAATCAACTGCCAAGAATTTTAGTCCATCACCAAATTCAGTGAAAGAGGTAATGTCATTAAAAATCATTGAGGAATGTAAATTTTGTTGTTATTGAGATGGATTTTCCTTGTGTTGCCAAGGGCTGGTCTGAAACTCCTGGGCTAAGGTCATCCTTCTGTCTCAGCCTCTTGAGACTACAGGCATTTGCCATCATGCCCATCTGCTCAGTTATGATAATTTGATAGCTGATGTTCTCTTTTTGCTAACTTGTTTGTATTCTGAAAAAGTAGGAATATAATGTTAAATCCACTGGTCATTGTGGAGTATGCTTGTTATCCCAGGGGATTGGGAGGCTGAGGCAGGAGGATCTCGACTTCAAAACCAGCTTTGGCAAAGTGTGAGCCCCTAAGCAACTCAGTGAGACCCTATCTCTGAGTAAAAACATGGGCTGGAGATGTATGTGGCTCAGTGCTTAAGTGCCCCTGAGTTTAATCCTGGTATTAAAAAGGAAAAAAAAGGTAAATGAAAAATTCCAAACATCCTCAGCAGTAAAGAAAATAATATAGTGAAGCCTCCGAATACCCATTAGCTAGAAAGAACTTTTTTAAGTAAAATAGTGAAAATTGTAATTTCATTTGATTTTTGTGATAGTTATTCTTATAGGGCTAAACCTTGACTAATAATGAGAATTTGTGTTATAATCCTGTTTTGGAATGATGAACATTTTATTAGTGTTAACACTGAGGCAAGGAGAGAGGAAGAGGGAAAGGTGTTAATTTTTCTTGCACCGAAATTGAATAACTGGTAGCTCAAATATCCCCTTAACCCACCCATTTGATTAGGATTTTGAAATTCTTAGATCAGGAGTTACCTGAAGAGTTGAAGGTCACTTGACTATATTGTTATACCTGAAATTGCTTTGTATGCCATATTGGAACATCATAATACTTCTATTGTATTCCATTATGAAAACACCAAAGAACTGAAAACAAAAGGACTCAAGTTAACATCCATTTTGACACCCTCTCCTGCAGAAGTTTTGTTTGTTGAAATCTAACCGAATACACTCTGTGTGTGTGTGTGCGTGCATATGTATGTGTTTGTGTGTAATCATTAAATAGGTCCTTTTGAAGCTGTTAATCAAATCTAGAATTCTGGAATGTAGCTTGAAGAACTACTCCTCTGTGCATTATAAAATATTTAAACTATTCCAGGATACATTTATAAATTAATATTTAAATCCCTTATGTAGTATCATAGTTCTGAGTATCCAGGCCTTCATTGTCTTTGGGTAAGAAAATCTTTTGTTGACTCATTGAATGGGAAAGAAAAAAATTTATAGACGGAGAAAACTAGATGTTGAAAAAGACCTTAAATCAATTTTGCATTGTGAATAATGGTAGAACAGGAAACTGTGATAATTGTGAATTTATATTGGCATCAGTTCTCTGGTCACATATTCATCAGTGTTTCTGAATTTCCTCTTAGTGTAATCGTTCAAATTCCTCTTCACCTGTTGACAAACTTAATCAGCAGCCTCGTCTAACCAAACTGACACGAATGCGCACTGATAAGAAGAGTGAATTTTTGAAAGCATTGAAAAGGGACAGAGTAGAAGAAGAACATGAAGATGAAAGCCATGCTGGCTCAGAGAAGGTAATTAAATTTGCAATGCATGATTTTATATTGACATGTTGTTAAAATACATGAGCAAATATTTAGAAACTTGGAATAAATTCTAATAGATTTTCACCTTAGAAAATAAAGGCCTAGCCAACTATTTGCATAAGTAATGGCTTCTTAGTTTTCCATTCATATGAGACTGTCTTCTAAATTTAGTGATTGTAAGTATACTTTTATGTATTCTAAATGGGAATTGACCCAGGATCTATTAAAAACGTTCTTAGTAACTATATATACTTTTTTTTTTAAGTTGTGGACGGACAGTATATCTTTTTTTTTTTTTAACTATTTTTACGTGGTGCTGAGGATTGAACCCAGTGCCTCACACATTCTAGGCAAGTGCTTTACCACTGAGCTACCACCATGGCCCAGTAACTATATTCTTCAGAATTAATTTTTTTTAATCCTCCCAAATTAGGATGAAGACTCATTTAATTTGCATAACAGCAATAGTACTCACCAAGAAAGGGATATAAACAGAAACTTTGATGAAAATGAAATTCCACAGGAGAATGGCAATGCCTCAGTGATTTCCCAACAGATCATTCGGTCTTCAACCTTTCCACAAACTGATGTTCTTTCCAGTTCACTTGAGGCAGAACACAGGTTAGTTTTTATTTTTACTTTTTTTCCTCTGGCATTTTTAGCATAAGAATTTTATATTGTAAAACTCTTATGTAATTGATTGATTTTTGTGATGCTAAAGATTTAACCTAGGTTGTTGAACATGCTAGGCATTTTATCACTGAGCTAAGCCCCAGCCCCTAATTTATTTGTTTTTCTAACATGTTCATTAGGTGCAATTTATATACAGTAAATTTTACTTCTTCTGATTAGTACAGATGAATTCGATCTATTCAGAGTTGTGTAGCTAATTAGTTTTAGAACATTTTCATTATCTTTGAAAGCTATGTCCATTTGTGCTTATTCCTCAGTTTTAGACTCTGTCATAGATAATCAGTAATTATTTTCTAACTATAGATTTGCCTTTCATGGATGTATTGTGAGTGGAATCATATAATATGTGGTCTGCTGTGTCTAGCTTCTTGGACTAACCATATTGTTTTCAAGGTTCATCTGTGTTTCAGCACATGTTACTTTTTTATTGCTGAGCAGTACATTGTATGACTGTACCTCTTTTTGTTCATTGATTAATGGATATCAGTGTCCACTTTTCTGTGGATAGTGTTACTATGAACATTTCATGTACAAATTTTTGTGTGAACATTCCTTTATTTCTTTTGAGTACATTCCCAAGGGTTGAATTCTTGACATAAGGTAACTGTGGTAACCTTTTTTTTTATCTTCATCAGCAATATATAGAGTTCCAGTTCTCTTTTATTTTGCCAACAATTGATATTGTCTGTCTTCATTTATAACCATTCTAATGGTTTGAATTGGTTATCTTTTTGTGGTTTTTACTGTGCATTTTCTTGATTTCTAACAGTATTGAATATCTTTTGATATGCTTATTTACATGTTGTCTTTAGGTGAAACACCTATTGAAATACCTTGCCTGTTTTAGAATTATATTTCGTTTCTAAGTTCTGAGAGCTTTTTATGTATTATTTGCATAAGTCTCATATATATGACTTGACAATATCTTCTCCTATCCTGAGTTGTCTTTTTACTGTATTTATTTTTAATTTATTTCTTACTTAGTTGTAGCTGGACACAATGCCTTCATTTTATTTATTTTTATGTGGTGCTGGGGATCAAACCCAGGGCCTTGCATGTGCCAGGTGAGTGCTCCACCACTGAGCCACATCCCCAGCCCCTCTTTTCACTTTATTAATGGTGACATTTGAGTTTTTATCTTAGTCCAGTTTATGCATTTTTTTCTTGTATCACTTAATGCAAATGTTGGTGTGATATGAGGAATTCACCTATTTTCTAGGTGAATATCCAATTACCTCAATAGGTGATTTATTTTTTTATTGCAAACTCTTTAGCACTTTTGTTTCTATTTTTATCATTTCTAATGTTTTAAAATAGTAATTATAAGGTTTAGTATTAGAATTTAGAAGAGAATTCAAAAGAGGATTCCCTCCCATGATTTTCTTTTTTAGTTGTACTTGGACATTTATTTTATATGGTGCTGAGGATCAAACCCAGTGCCTCACACATGTTAAGATGAGCGCTCTTCCACTGAGCCGTGGCCACTGTCACCATTTCCCCATGACTCGCAGAAATGTTATACCTTTACTATTGAATTGAAACAACAGCCACATGGTTCAGCAGCAAAACATAATTCTTCTTCTCTCCCCCTTTTTGGCATTTGGAGTCAAACCCAGGGTAAATACAACTGAGCTCTATCCCTGGCCCTTCTTATTTCAGTTTTTTTTTTTTTCCCTTTTGGTACCACAGATTGAACTCAGGAGCACTTGACTACTTAGCCACATTCCTATCCCTGTTATGTATATTATTTAGAATTGGGGTCTCACTGAGTTGCCTAGCGCCTTGCCTAGCTTTTTTGCTGAGGCTGGTTTTGAACTCAAAATTCTCCTGCCCCAGCCTCCCAAGACACTGGGATTACAGGCATATGCCACTGTACCTGGTCCTTTTAATATTTTGAGAGACAGGGTCTTGCTGAGTTGCCCATATTGGCCTTGAATTTTGTCTTTCTGCTTTAATCACTCAAAGTACTTGGGATCACGAGCATGTGCCACCATATCTGGTTTCAGTTCCCTTTTAATTACTAAAGAGTAAGCTAGGAGCAACAGTGCATTCTTATAGTCCCAGCTACTGGGAAGCTGAAGCAGGAGGATTGCTTGAACCCAGGAGTTAAGGACAGTCTTGGTAATAATAGTGAGACTCTTCTGTCTCTCTACCCCCAAAAATTAAATTAGAAAATTAATAAAAATAAAAATATCATAAGGATTATAACTTTTGAACAAACAAGAAAGTTAACTTGTTAACATATTGCTCTACAATTTCTTTATGTATATCAAATTGTTTTCCTACCAAGAATTCTTAACATACTCTAAGAGCAGGCTTAGCATGGGGAAGTCCTTGTCAACAGTTCATTAACTTTTAAGTTTTTGCCATTTCTTTTGTAACCTCATTTGATTTTAGAACAGTAAGGAACTGCTGATATTTACTGTGGAATAATTTTTGTGGAATTCAGCCTAAGCTCCACAGGACAGAAATTTTGTGTATTTTATTGCTGTATCTAGCACTGAGAGTGGTGTACCTAAATTAAGTGAGTGAGTGAAGTAAAAGCTGAAGTATTTTCCTACCTATTTAGTAAAACTGTATTCATTTTTAAAGGGAATTCTTTAACTTTTTATTTGTTTCAAGTTTCCCTTCCCTTCTATTTTCTTAAAGCTTTTCCCTCTTTCAGCTTTTTCTTTCCTTATCCTGGGGAGTGAACCCAGAACCTTGACCATGTTAAAACACATGCTCTACCACTGAGCTATGGTCCCCGGCTATCCTTGCCCACTTAGGTTTCTTACATTCTAGTTTACATTTCTCCTCCCATGAAACTATTTAATTTAATTAATCAAGGTTGTACCTTGATTGGTTGATGCCAGCGATTGAACCCAGGGACTTAACTACTGACCTGCACCCTCAACCCTTTCTATATTTTATTTTGAGACAGAGTCTCAATGAATTGCTGAGGCTGGCTTTGAGCTTGTGATCCTCCTGCCTCAGCTTCCCTAGCAGGTAGGATTATAGGCATGCACCACCATGCCCTGTTACAAGATTGTACCTTTAAAAGTCTATAAATCTTTATCTTTATGGTTTGAATTTTACATTATTATTATTTTATTTCTGTGATCACTTTTGTTCCCCTTCTCCAAATCAGGTCCTCTATGTATGTGAGAATGTAAGCATGTGGTTTTATATAGTCTTAGACTTTTGCCTTTAAAAAGGTTTGCTTTTTCTTTTTTTATGTGGTGGTGATTGAACCCAGGGCTTCATGCATGCCAGGCAAGTGTTCTACCAATGGGCTTTATGCCCAGTTGTGCCTAAAGTAATATAATGGGCTAATGATAAATGTGAAAGTCCATTTCATGAGAGTTAAGTTTAGCTAGATTAATTTAGAGAGAACTCATTTGTGTGATATCTATATTTAATTGCATTTAATATGAATAGATGAATGAGTTACTACTATTTTAATCCTTCTCAGCTTGTGGAACTCCTCTTTATCACATAATCTGGTTTATGACTTGTAACTGATTTAGGCTGTCATGGCAGCTTTGTCAAATCATAGAAAATAGTAAACATCAATTCCTTTTACTGTTTTATTTTTGTGTTTTTCAAAACTGTGACATTTTGTTCTTTTCAAAAAGACTATAGCATATAGGAATTCCAGATCCCCCATTCCATCATTCTAAGGTGTCATCTTGTATCATCCTTCTTGAAACTATTCTGTACTGTAGATATAAAATTGTGAAATTATTTTTCTATTGACCTTAGTCAAGTTTTGTACATCATGCTGGTATTAATATCCTTGTATTTGTGTCCTCGAACATGTGCATAAGTGTATTTGATGCTAAATTACTAGGTGTGAAGTTGATTGGTCCAGTGGCATTTATTACTCAATGTCAACCAAAAATGCTCTAATTTTCACTCTCAATTAGTCAATTAAATATTTCTAGTCAGAATTGGTAGAAAGAATGCCTGTGTATAAAAAGGAAAGTATACAAATAAATCTCATGATAGTTAAAGATGAGCAGTAAAAGTTCTTTACCTAGGGCTGTAGTAAGAAAGTTAATGTCAGAATGCATGCATGCATGCGTGTGAGAGAGAGAGAGAGAGAGAGAGAGAGAGAGAGAGAGAGAGATGTGATGCGATTCGATGCTGGGGGTCAAACCTAGGGCCTTAAGTATGCTAGGTAAGTTTTCCACCACTGAGTTCCATCCCTAGCCCTGTTGAGTGCCTTTTTGTGACCTTCATGTTTCCCATCATCAGTACTTAGTAGTAAAAAAAAAAAAGTAAAAGGTCCACACCCCTTAGAAATATTCTTAAAATTCCTAAAAGTCACATTGAATGTTTTAACTGTTTTTTTTTTCTTTCAATTTGTAGAGTAGATATTTAGTACACAAAGAATTGTGGTGGTTTCTTGTCATTCATGAAGACTTAGGGACAGGAGACCTGAGTTCCATACTTTGACAGTGTTTAGTTCCCCTCAGTACTAACAGGAAAAAAGGAGAGAGTGGGATTTAAGAACTAAGCCAAATGAATTAAGCTGAAAACATTCTAAATTAATAACCTCTGGGGAGAAAACAAACAGACCCATGCTGTGTATATATAGTAGAGATGATATCAGTGATAACTAAAGACATATACATATCTTTATTCTTTTGGAGACCTTAAATATTATTATTTTTGTCCTTTTTAAAACAGACTTTCTTCCTTTCGTCCTTCATTTCTTCATGCCAGGGATTGAACCCAGGACACTTACCTATTATGCTACATCCCCAGTCCCTTGTTATTTTTTATTTTCAGACAGGGTCTCATTAATAGTTGCTGAGGCTGGCTTTGAACTCGTGATCCTCTTGCCTCAGCCTCCTGAGTTAACTGGGATTACAGACATGTACAACCATGCCTGTCCAGCTCAAAGCTCCCTCCCACCCCTTATAGACAATGCCAGTTTTGTTCTAAAATTAGATTTATTGAATTCTGCATAGGAATGCAGTTGCCTAGTGTAGAGACAAAGGTGAAGAAGACAATAAGAGCATTTTTTTTCTTTTTCTTTTTTTTTTTACTATTCATGTAAAGAATAAAGTTACATATTCAAGATTTCAGATTTGGTAGGTGCTAGAATTTAAGTTTCAATAAGTATCTATCAAATAGAGGAGTAGTTGTGGAAATGTTAGACATGTTCGAAAATATCCCAAGGTGGAGAAAGTAAAGGTGTTGGTGATATGGAACCACTTTAAATTCTTAGTTTGAGTTTTGAGTGCCGAAGTATAATATACATTTATAATCCAAAAATATATCCATATGTTTTTTTCCTTAAGCTAACAAAGGTACAGCTTCTTTTAGATTTGAAATCTATTTTTCTCCATGAATATAGTGATACATCTTTTCCATGGCTTCAAGTTTTTGGTAAACTTTAATTTGTAATTCTTAAATTATATACCTATTACCTACTCATGTCAGTTGACTTTAGCAATAAAGTGTTAGCAATACAATTCTTAAGGATAATTCTTTTGTAAATGTTAGGCAAAAGCATAAATATTAGGTACACATATCATTCTGAAGAGTTAGGAATATTCACTTCCCTTTTCCTCCCTTTTACTTATTTTTTGTTTGGGGGATTGAGCCCTGGGCCTTGTACATGCTCAGCATGAGATCTACCACTGAGCTACACCCTCAGTCCAATACTTGCCCTTTATTATATTCCCTTTATAATATTAAAGGTATTTTTTCCATCTGTATTATTGTTTAGTTAATGTTCGGTTTTTAAAAATAAGTAAAAGAAAAGTGAACCTAGCAAAAAAGTTTTGTTTTACTAGTCAAGATCTACACACTAGAATAGTGGTCTTGAATGATGAAAGTTTGAGTGGAAATGTCATTTCAAAGGAATGCATCTTGGCTAAGGAGTAAAAACAGTGCTCGAGAAAAGAAAATTTTAAGTCATGAGTAGGAATGAAAGAAAGAAATGATTAATGCTGACTGTGACATTTTGGTTCAGAGACTAAAAATAATTGGTAAAACATTTAATTTGGTGACAGAGAATCAGAATTCTGTTTCCTTCTTTGCTAACAAAGTTAAATTGTTTTACTTATGAAATTGATTCTTCTGTAAAATATGGATAGCATTTAAGTTTTATTCAGGGTCTTTGAGAACTGAAATTCTATAGATTTTTTAAAGGGAAAAAAAGATATGAAAGTGTATAAGCAGTTAACACAATGACAGGTGCAAGGTGAAAGATGAGTAAGTATAAATGGAATTAACAGAAATACTTAAGGAATACAATTCAAAACAAAACAAAACAACACATCATCAGATCAGTATAAGACAAGTGACCTGTACCAAGGGTAAACTTGTCATTGAGTTAAATACAATAGATCCTGCTATAGTGTTCACATTTACTCAAATAGAGAAAAGTGATGTTTCCTGTCATTGTTTTCATAGCTCCACTTGCCTAAGATGGAAGTATCTTCAAAGAATATAACTTTATGGTCTTTTTACTTATTTAAGATCCTGGTTTAGAGCTTTCTAAATTCATTATTGTAGGATTTAACTTCTCTTTCATATTTATTTGTGTTGGGGAATGATGATTGGCATATATCTAAGAGGTGATATCAATAGAGGTATAAATTATAAAATGCAAGATAGGTTAGGCTGTTTCACCCTTTCTTTTCAAAATAGAAAAACTAATGAATAGGCCACAATACATTAGATTGTGGTGATACTGAGAAAAGGGAGAAAAATATCACTATTAATCTTAATGGAGTAATTTGGAAATTTTTCTTCAGGTCTCCCCTATTGCAAGTTTCTAGCCTACCAAACCTTTGACACCAAAGGTTAAAAATCAGTTCATTCTTATTTTACTTCCAAGAAGGTTTATTTAACTTAATCTATTAATTTTTTAGAAAGATATTCAAAGCAAAAACACAAAAGCCCTTTCAATATATCTTGAGAACTGTATACAATGGATCGTGGATTATTATTATTATTATTTTTTGTACCTACTCTAAATGGAATTTTCCCATGCAGGTTAAGATCTGATTAAGCTTAATTATCTCCTTTCTTTTTAGATTGTTAAAGGAAATGGGCTGGCAGGAAGACAGTGAAAATGATGAAACATGTGCTCCCTTAACTGAGGATGAAATGAGAGAATTCCAAGTTATTAGTGAACAGGTAAGAAAAACGGAATCATTCAAGTGCTTTTGGTGTTTTTTTTTGTACCAGGGATTGAACCCAGGGGTGCTTACCACTGAGCCACCCCCTGTTGGCCCACCTCCATGCCGTTCCCTTTCTCCCCCAATTTTATTTAGAGAGACAGGGTTTCGCCTCAGCCTCCTAAGCCCCTGGGATTACAAGTATGTGCAACAATGCTTGGCTTTAAGTTTACTTTTAAAGTGGCCTTTAAAAAATTAGGATAGCGTGATTTTTTAGTAAGCTTTCAGGTGCTGGATAACAATTTTATTTATTAATTTATTAAGATATCACATTGGAATTATCTTTGTTTTAAAATCTCCAATAGTTAGAAATGAATAGAAACAGTATATCTATGATTGAGCATATTCCAGGTGTTTTTATTTGGTGGTGGTTTTGATTTGTTTTGGGGTGGCAAGTCTTTATAGCTTCCTAAGGAACTTCACCTTTGATTTTCCTTGCATAAGAATATTTCAAATTCTTATATGTTTGTGTAATTTCCTTTTTGATAAAGAACATTGGGAGATGTTTAGTAGAACATAAAGAAGTTAAGATGTTATTCCAGATCCATTAAAGAATCTTTGTGACATGCAGAGCTAATTTTCTTTATGGAGGTAACATTTTCAGAGCCACTTCAAATGGAATTTTTGAGTAAATTAGTCATTAAAATTTAAAAACATAAGAGACTTAATCCCCATTCCTTCCTTCTGTGCTGAGGTTAAACCCAGGGCTTCATGCATACTAGGAAGTGTTCTATCACTGATCTACATCCCCAGCTATTTTTAAATTTTATTTTGACTCAGGGTCTTGCTAAGGTACCCAAGCTACCCCTGAACTTTGGATCCCTCTTGCCTTAGCTTTACAAATAGCTGGGATTATAAGCATGCACCACTATATATATCTGTCTATTCTTCTTTTTTTAAAGAGTAAATTTAATTTATTGACTTTACCCCCTCACATTGTACTTTTGAAAATTTGGGTTTAAAAACATAAAATTTACTGTTTTAACCATTTTTTTTGCATTTACTGTTTAATGGCATTACGTTCATTCATCTTGTTTTGTATCCATCACCCACCTCCGGAATGTTTCTCATTAACTTTTGCAGTTGAATCTTCATACCCTTTAAGTAAGAAGTCTCCATTTCCTATTCCTTTTGCACCAGAAGCTGCTACTCTTCTACTTCTGTCTTTTATGAAATTGACTGTTTTCCATACCTCATATGTGGAATCAGAGAGTATTTATCCTTTTGATGGGCTTATTTCACTTAGCATTAAATTCTCAAGGTTCACATATTTCGCCTTCTTAAGGCTAAGTAGTATTCCATTATGTTATATATCACATTTTGTTTGTCTATTCATCTATCAGTAGACACTGGGTTACTTCTTACTTTTTGCTATTGAGTATAATTTTTCTATGAAAATAAGGGTACTACAGCTCCTTACTTTCCACTATTTTGAGTGTATATCCAGCAGTAGAATTGTTGGATTTAATGGTAACTGAAAACATTTTTTTTTGTTTCTTTTCTTTCTTCCTTCTTCTTCTTCTTTTTTTAAGAGACGCTCGCTGCCTTACTACTTTTCCATAGTGACTGCACAGTTTTATAGTGATGCACAGGAGGTCATTGCACAACTGAACAGTGCACAAGAGTTCCACTTTCTCTTTGCTAATGCACAATTTCTGTCTTTTGAAAAATAATAATCATTCTAGTTCTTAAGTTACTGTGCTTTGGATTCATGATTAATGGTGTTGAACATTTATTAGGCCATTTCTTTGGAGAAATGTTCATTTAGTTCCTTTGCCCTCCCCTCCTCCCTTTAATGGTGCTAGAGTGCCACACACATGCTAGGCAAAGTGCTCCATCACTGAGTTTAAAACCCCTAGCATTAGCACACAACTTCCCATATTTTAATCAAATCGTTGTTGCATAAGATGATTTATTTTAGATATTAACGATCACAAAAATGACTTGCATATATTTTCTCTCATTCTCTGAATTGCCTCTTCACTTCCATTGTCATCATCTTTCCCTGCCCCCACCCTTTTTTTGGAGTTCTAGGTATTGAATCCAGGTATATTCTGGGTATGAGCTACATACCAGTCTTTTAAAAATTTGATTTTAGACAGGGTCTGGCTAGTTACTCTACCCAGGCTGACCTCAAACTCCTAGGTTGCTGAAATTACTGGCATGGGCCACCATGCCTACCTGGATTATCTTTTGATACACAAAAGTATTTAATTTGATACAGTTTAATTTCTTTTTTAAATTTAGGTGTCATATACAAGAATGCCACATCCAGTGTCATGTTTTCCCCTTATGTTTTTGAAGGGTTTTATAGTTTTTAAGCCCTTATGTTTAGATCTTAAGTCAACTTTGATTTGTAATGGTGTGAAGATTCAGCCTCATTCTTTCGTGTGTGGATTCTTTATCTCTAACACCATTGTTGCAAAAATTGTCCTTTCTCTATTTAATGTCTTGGCATGGCTGACAAAGATCTTTAGGGTTACGTAAGGGTTTATCTCCGTTTAATTGGTCTGTGTCTTTTTATGTTAAGACTACACTGTTTTGATTACTATAGCTTTGTGATAGTTTTGGAATTAGGCTCATACAGTTAAATAGTAGAGCTGGAATTTGAGCCCTAACTGGGCTGATTTCATAGTTTGAGGATATAGATATGAATAAAATATTGTATTAAAGAAAAATATGTTAGGATCAGATTATGAAGGACTTTAAATGTTAGTTCAGGAGTATACAGCATGTCTGTGATAGTCAGTATTTCATCCCTGTGACTGACACACCTGATAAGAACAATTTAAAGGAAGAAAGGCTTATTTTTGGGCACCTCATTCAGAGGCTCAGTCATGGTTGGCTGACTCCATTTCTCTGGGCCAGAAGTGAGGCAGAACATCAGGGTGGAAGGCATGGAAGAGGGAAACTACTTAGATTGAGGAGCCAGGGACAAAATACAGCCCAAGACCACATTCTCAATGATGGTGTCTCCATCCCCATCCTACCTGTGTAGTCACCACATAATAATCCACTCAGATTGTTAATCAGTCAAATAGATCCACACATGAGGTTTCATCTCTCATAATGTTATCATTTCACTCTAAGAATCACTACATTGGGGGATCATGGTTTTTTTTTTTTTTTTTAATAACACGTTAGCCTTTTAAGGACACTTCACATCCAAGCTATAACAATGTCTATATAGTTTCTTCTTTGGAGGTTTTTTTTTTAAATATGAAATAATCATTTTTGTTTCTTTTTATACATGAGAAGGTGCAGTTGTAGTGTGAAATATATTTTGGGAGTATAATTTCTAAATTTCTAAGAGTAGAATCAGGATAATGAATTGTGAATATATTGTACAAATCAGAGGAGGAATAAATGGAGGGCCCAAACTAGGGAAATGATAGTAAAAATGTTCTTGATTAGCAGAAGAGATTTGAAGTAGAACCAACAAGATTTTTAAATTCTGGCCTTTGATCTGCTGATAACATAAATAGGAATGGAAGAGGAGGAACTAGTTTTAGGAGGCTTTAAAAGATGTTAGATGTTTTAAGGATGTCATCCAGGTGTTTAGAAAATTGAGAAATAGACTCTTAGGTTTGGTTTTCATTAAAATTCTCTTCAGTTGATTTCAAGGTATGGCAAGATTAGGTGTATCAGCTGATAAATCGCCCGAGGCAAGGATGAAATTTTGGTGAATGAAAAAGAGACACCTTTAAGAGGGGCCAGATGTCTTTCTAAGTATCATGCTGGCTGAGAACATTGGAGTTGCTTGATTGTGTGGCTGCTTTTATTTTTCCTGGTAAAAATGATGAGGTCCTTTATTCAATTTGAAAGGAGAGGTAGCATTGGCGAGTTAGAATTAAAGCATGATAGCAAAGAAAATTACTTAATTAAAAGGGAAGAGAAACTTAGAGTCAAGACTGTAGACATGAATTGTACATAAGTATTAGCCATGGTGGAAGTGGCATTGGAATTGAATTTTAACAAATTATTTGTAAACCTCATGATTAAAGAATTCTCTGGAATATAAAATATTAGATATTTCCAACTATTAAGTTAGTTAGGTAAAATTGGCTTTATAGAAAATTGCATTTAGGTATTTACTTGAAAATCACTTATCTCTCATTGTTAGGCCTGATTTTATTTATCTACATAAATAACAAATATTATCATTTTATTTATACATATATAACATTATCATTGTTTTGTATTTTTATTTCTACATTGAGCTTACCATCCGATTTTCCTTCTGATAAATGATCTTCTGACTCAGTTCTTATTATTACCAAAGTCTTTGTTTCTCATTTCTCATTTTCAGAAATAAACAAATATTATTTTTCTTGAATCTTAATTTCTCTGGCTAGGCAAAGAACTGTATTTGATTTTGTTAATTTGTATACCTCATTCTACTTAGTCTACAGAGTATGAATAAAGCAGATAGTGAGTTGTGTTAACTTAGATATTAATAACTTTAGGTATATAGTTTAATCGATTACTGATTACATGTTTCACAGCACTTGAAGGTGTATTTGTTACAGTGTTCATGTTAAGGAAATGAGGAAAGGTCTAATGCCTTAGTGGGATACTTAATGTTCTCACTACCCTGTTTGGATTTAAAATCTGTGCTTTTATATTACACTATATACTTTTTTTTTTAATGGTCTGATAGAATGATAGAAGGTATATATTATATATTGGTGGTTCTTCAAAAGAAATAGATTGTTTTCTAGTATTTTGTTAGATCAGTTGGATCAATTACCTGTATCTATTTAAATAGCTTATTTCTAGACATGTTGTCATTGCCTGTGAAATGCTGAGGATAGGTTACAAGTTAAATTTTTTTAAAAAAAATTTTATTTGTGGTTATACTTTATAGATAATTTTGGGGGAAAATAATTAATTTATTTATTTTTGACATTTTAGTTGCAGAAGAATGGTCTGAGAAAAAATGGTATTTTGAAAAATGGCCTGATCTGTGACTTCAAGTTTGGACCCTGGAAAAACAGCACTTTCAAACCCACAATTGAGAATGATGACACAGAGACAAGTAGCAGTGACACATCAGATGATGATGATGTGTGAAGGATTTCCTAACAGCTTTAGAATTTTTAGTGTGATACATCTCTCATACAGTTTGGGGTGAATTGTAAAAATGAAGAACTATAATTTATGTAGTGAAATACCCCATTAGAAGATGATTTTTTTGGGGGACTTCAATATGAAGAAAACCAAGAATGTTTTGTTGGGCTGGGTTGAACATTATTTCTTTGTAAATGAATGTTGTAGAAATGAGGACTTTGGTTGATCCAACATTGACTTTCTTCATCACTGCAGCATTTCTCTGACTAGCAATGTGACGATGTAACAAATGAGATTTTCTCATTTAATAATAAAAAATTGTGTAATGTTTTGCAAAGCTTCTGTCTTAAAATGTCCAGGTCTTAAGGGAAAAAAAGGCAGCTTACACTGTTTTGCTTGCAGAGTCATATCTTTTTCATATAGTGGAAATCTTCAAGTCCGCTTTGTGCGCCTCCCCACCCCACCCCACCCCCAAACAAAACAAAACAAAAAAACGAAAAGGAAAATGTAGCATGTTGGCTGAAAACTGGTGCAAAGTGCACTAAAACATTAATTTCCTGAACTCAGCTGTTGTACTTGTCACCTTTTAAAACAAATTGCTGTTTAGCCATTTGTAGTGCAGTAAGTGTTACAGGAGAGACTCGCCACATTTTCTTCCAAATTTTAAGAGATGTTTTTCAAGAGCTTTATTCGGGTTATGTTGTCAGAGCAGGATTTTCAGACTTGGTGGAAAAGACTCTTGGGAAAACTTATTTTGATAAATTATTACACATGCAGAAAAAATGATCAAACTGACTGGATCTGTCCACAACATGGAAAATAAACTGGATTTTCAGAATATTGCTCTCTGTAGTGTTCAAGGTATTGGTCTATAACAACATGCTTTGTTCACTTCTGAAAGTTATACTCTCTTCATTAAAAATGGTGGTTATTTTCTGAGGTTAGAAAATCAAAATAAGTCTTTCAATATTGTATACACAGGTTTATTGAATGAATTTTGACTTTCCATTTTCACATTAGTTTTGGAATCAATTTGTTTTATGGCTGACTGCAAGAGTATTTTAGCTCTGTATAATTTTATTTTGATTTTCTTGACTTTGTTTACCCTTAGTTGGTTTTAAGCTTCTTGCATTCCATGTATAAATATATTCTAATTGTTAAGAGTGTTACGTTTGAGTGAAAATGTGTGAGGTTATATGTTACATTGATCTAAACCTATGAGGTTTTTTTTGTTGTTGTTGTTGTTTTAAGGAGGCGGCTGTTTTTTTTCCGTTTCCGCATGATTTCCCAGGCTTCCCAGCTTTCACTAGAAACTGTTATTTTTTTCCTTGTATGTTTTTGTTTTTGTTGTTCCCCTGAGATTGATAGGTGCATGGTTGCATCCTAGTAAAAATTCTGAGGAGAAGTTAAAAGTTAAGAGAATGTAGTAAATATTTGAATTTTTAAAAAGCCCCCCCCCCCAATGTAATTTGCCACTTTCAATCTAATCAGCACCTGCTTTGACAAAGCTGTCAGTATCATATTGAAAGTCTTTGGAAGTCTTAGATTGCACTATTTAATAGGATAATGAAATACTGTTAGGTGCAAACTAATATTTGCTAAAACAAGTATAAGAGAATTGAGAAATATGATTTATGTTTAAAATTTTGGGGGGTAATTTTTGTTTTCTGGCATTTTCTTTATATTCAGACAGTTCTTTCTGCCATAATTCCCCATTTACAAGCTGTTAACTAATGTTTATTGTGCTTCCATGAATTGTGATATGGAATATGTTTGGTAGTTTACTTTTTGTAAATATGGTAAAGTGCATTGGCATAGTTGTTCTATCTAGTAACTGATGACATTAACAAGTTTAAGGTAACTAAGGGGACAGAACCATATACATACAATTTGAGAGTGGCTAAAGTTAACATAGTTTTAATTTTATGTCCAAATAATGGACAGCTATTAAAAGAGTTTGGACCTTATTGCTGGGGAGGGAACCCAGAAATACAGAAAGTAGTTAAACTATAAATCTAGTGTGGAATTATTAAATTCAGAATTGGGCCGTGGTGATCGGGAAAAAAAAGTAATTTTGACCACTTAAACTCAGTAACTCAGTGGAGGGTTCCCCCGCCCCCTCATATAGACTAGCATAAACATTCCTCTTACTGTTACCCCCTCACCACATTTTTTGTAAAAATTGTAATTAGCAAAATTCATATAACAGTGATTTAAATTAGTATTTCAAGAATTGTATATTTTTCATTTAATTTTAAGATAAAGATTAGAATAACTGATATCCACTTATTTTTATTTGAAATAAACAACTGATGACATAAAAATAATCACTTGATTTAATAATATATTTGTATTAAGTAAAATTAGTATGTTGAAGGATCTGGTTTCTAAACACTTTTAGTTCTTTTTGCTAGGGCTTATAATTAATTTTGTTAGAATATGGTTATATAAACAGTACTAAGAAATTTATTTAGGGATATGTTAAATGACTTTTTCACTTAAAAGTTACTCTATCAGATTCTATTATCATGCTTGATAATCTCTTAGAAATTTTATAAAAGTTGTTTTAAGAATTCAGGTCACTTAGAAAAAAAACACTTTTTTCCGTAAGGGGAGATTTTTATTTTGGTTTACATGATAGCGGATGTAAACTACAGCTTTAAAATTTTAAAATATCACTATTTGAGAGCAGGGTGTTGTGACTTTTTCTTTTGGGCAGTTTAGTTTCCTGAAGTTAATGGTTACTTGGCTGTTGGGGAAGGCATGGGCAGGGGGTATTTCCAGTAATAGCAAAATCCCTAAAAGCCTCCAGTGCTGCCAAGAAGCTGGGATTATTCCTTTTTGCAGCCTAATTCTGCATTTCTTTAGACAAGGCTGTGAGGACATACTATATACTATATGGCTGTAATAGCATACTTTAGTGGCCTGAGCTGTAGAATAATTTAAAATTCTGGTGATTGTAATGTATTGATTTTGGCTGTATAATCATCTTAAATTTACAGTAGGCTGTGAGTACATACATACTTTAGTGAATTGAGCTATAGAATGTTTTAAAATCCTCCTAATGATTTTAGTGTATTTAATATGGCTATATATGTTGTTATTTTAAATTTATTGACTTGCAGTATTGTAGAAATAGTCACATCTGGTTTGGAACTTGGCTTTTGCTCCTTATTAGCTTGGCCCTTAATTCAGATACTTAACCTCTGCAGACATTAGTGTGTCTTCCTCTGGTTTATTAGGAAGATGAAAAGCCTCATTAGAAGCACCTGGTGTAAATCCTGGCCCATAGAAGACATTTCATAAATCTCTCATATTATTCAGCAGGAACCTGTAGCATGTAGTACCTGTGTATTTTTCAAACAAATTTTTTAGTTGTAGATGGACACAATACTTTTATTTTTATGCAGTGCCAAGGTTTGAACCCAGTGCCTCACACGTACTAGGTAAGTGCTCTTTCACTGAGCTACAACCCCCAGCCCCTGTAGTACCTTTTTTTTTTTTTTTTGGTGCTGAGGATTGAACCCAGGGCCTTGTGCATGCAAGGCAAATACTCTATCAACTGAGCTATATCCCTAGTCCTCTATAGTACCTATTTTTGAAATTAATTTTAAATAGGCAGCTATTATTCTAAATGGTTGTAAATAGTGTGGTCTGAGTTCTCAGTAAATTTAAACTGAGCTGTGTGATATTTCCTTCGTTTATTTGGCATGGTCAGTTACAAACTAAGCATGGTAATCTAATTTTTTAAAGAGAGAGAAAGTTTTTAATATTTATTTTTTAGTTTTCGGCGGACACAACATCTTTGTATGTGGTGCTGAGGAACAAACCCGGGCTGCACACATGCCAGGCGAGCGCGCTACCGCTTGAGCCACATCCCCAGCCCAGCTTTCAGATCTTTAAAAATAGAATTATCTCATCATATTTTTTTGTGGAAATAAGCATTCCAAAAGGTAAAGTGGTTTTGACTTGCTACCTCTGCTCTTCCTCCCAAGATATGTCCTATTTTCTGGAATGCTATGGGTGAAAAAAGATAATGGACTGGAAAAGTTTTACAAGAGGGAGATAACACTTCAATCCTATTTCAGTTACTCACTTTTAATGGACATGATATTCGAAAATAAGCAAAATATAGTGAAATTGGTATCTTGAAAAAATTAGATTATAGGTGTTAAGTCTTGTGTAATATATTTATTCTGTAGTGTCTTTTCTGATGCTGAGAGTATCTTGGACATACACTTTGATTATAGCTTTAGTACCATTTTAATATGGTTTTCCTTAATTGCTAGAGAGAAGGGAAAACAATTTGATGAACCCAATGAAATTTCTCTTTAATTAATCTATAGTGGTTGTAGTCGTAAGAATTTGATTTGGCGAGGTCACAGGGTGTTAATTTTATTTGGAGTTAATATTTTTCTCCTTGAATCTGAACTTTATGTTCTGGCAGTGTTCAGTTTTTAAAAAGTAATTTTGATGGATTTAGTAGTAAAGTCTTTGGCAGAATAGATCAAACCTGGGTAATGAGAAGTGAGTGTAGGAAACTCGGTCTATTTCTAGATAGTGAGGCTTCATTCTGTCTATTAAGATGGCTACAGTTTCAATTTTGAAAATTATTTTCTAAATTAGGTGTTGGCAGACTTTCAGTGTTAAGGAACCAGCGTAGACAAAGTGATCTCTGGTGCGTTTGTGTTCCAACAAAACTGGCTTACTGGAGGCAGTAATTTGCAGTTCTCTGTTCTAAATCTTAATACCTAAGCTTTTGGAAACTTCATTTGTGTTTTGGTACCACGGATTGAACCCAGAGGCACTTAACCACTGAGCCACATCCCCATCCCTTTTTATTTTGAGAGTTTCACTAAGTTTCTGAGGCTGGCTTTGAATTTGCCTTTGCCCCGAGTCTCTGGTATTACAGGTGTGTGTGCCACCATGGCCCACTCCACCCCAATTGTAAAACCCGATTGTAATGTGTCTACACAAGACAAAGTATATATGTATCCAAATCACAAAGGTAAATTTATCAGTGTAATGCAAAATAAGATCTTCTGAGAAAATGGGAAAACTGGTGAAACAGAAGCAGTTTTAAAAATATTTTTTTAGTTGCAGATGGACAAAATACCTTTATTTTATATATTTTTATGTGGTGCTGTGCTTGGAACCTAGTACCTCAGATGTGCCAGGTTAAGTATTCTACTACTGAGCCACAACTCCAGCCCCACAGAGGCATATTGAACGACAGACTTGCAAAAGTGAGGTTTTTTTTTTTTTTTTCTTGGATTCTGCAGCTTTTCCCAGCATTCTCTACTTAAGTATTTACTGAAATAAAACTGTCTCAACTGG